TATATGTATGTAAGTATGTGTGTATGTATGTATGTGTGTTAAAATATTTTTCCTCATACATTGCATTATGATGACTTTATTCTTAGAATATCTTCCCTTTTAGCATTTACAACTACTTGCAATAAGCTTTTTTTCCATTTCTTATTGTTGCTGTTGCCGGCGCTGCTGCTGCTGCTGCTGCTGCTTGTACGTATTGATATAAATGACAAGTACAGCAATAATCCAGAGATAAAATACATAGAAAAAGAAGAAGAAAAACATGACAAATCTAAGCCACAAATAAATTGAAAAAGATTTAAAATTTTATCCACATACAGAGTCATATAAAGGGAACACGAAAGAAGACATACATACGCAATAAGCCATTTTTATATAGTTTTCTGTGTTTTTATTTTATTTGGTTTCCGTCTTTTTTTTTTTACGCCTACTTCTCCCAATGCGGCGATATGTTAATTTTGTTATTTCGTTTGTTTAATCGAAAATAACGCAGTAGGCGTTAAAAAACAAAAACAACAAAAAAAAAAATTGATAATAATTTGTACTATTTTAGGACAGGTTTTAACTTTTAGTTATTATGAACCGGGTATTTCAAGACTTTTGAATTTTTTTTTTTTTTTTTTTTTTTTTGAAAATTCAGGAAAGTTTGTCTGCTTGAGGTAGTAGACCGATCATTTTCAGACAGAATCTTTTCTTTTTTGAGTAGGCCAGAGTGACATAAAGAGACAATTGAACGCGTAGTGAAATACGGGGCAGTTAAAGGCGAGCTTCGCAAAACATCAATATTCGCTTAAATTGATAATGTCTTGCGAGAATGATTGCAGTGTTGCCATTTTTAATTATTTTTCAAATTAATATTCGTGCTCAACTATTATTATTATTCCACAACCGTTTTTTCAATATAAAAAAATTGTAAAAAAAACCTTTTTTCTTTTAGACTGTTGAAGTCTTCCAGGGATGGGCGACATTTGCTTACAGAAAGGTTGCAGTTTCAAGCGGAATAGATTCTTAAAGTTCCTGAATAGGAGTCCTGAATAAGAATTTTGTCTCATTCTTGAATCAAAACATTCGCCAATTGCATTAAAGCTTCGCATAACGATTCAATTGTGCTGAAGTCTGGCGACTGTTGTTACTCATGGCAGGTATTTGATGATGTTCCGACTTTATTGTTTGCTTTTTAAAACCGATAAATATATTGTTGATTGATTGTAGTTTCCGATTCCCTTAGTCATGTTGTGTTCTTAACAATTATCCTACGTAAACCCTGGCTTTTTTCCCGAAATTCGCATCAATCGCTCTGAGATCTGTGACATGCTTGCAATTGAAGAAAAATTGCTCATCAAAAAAAAAAAAAAAAAAACCTTAAACGTAGGGAACGCATCTAAGTTTCGCCTCAAAGCGAGTTTAATTTTTTTTACTCGCGTTTTCAATAAGTACGACAGCACTTTAGTTGATTTTCTTCATTTTTTTTTTTTTTTTTTTTTCAACAATAATAACATGTTCATACATGCAGCTGAGCAATTTGTACACGAAAGAGATGTGGTCGGACTAACTATATTTATATATGTATATGTATATAAATAAAAATAAAAAAAAGAGAAAAAATAAATAAATAAATGAATGAGTACAGAAAATAAAGTTGTTCAATAAATCAAATAAACCTTTACGCGATTCAAATGCATGTATATGTAAGTCAGAGTGATGCACTAGATTTTGGAAGCAGTTCATGCATCTTCTTGCATAAATACCAACGAGCATTAAATCATGGAATACTGATTGTTATTTTAAGACATTTAAAGATGCATTTGATGCATGTTTCCTGTAAATAAATTTTTTTCAATTATCCGCTTTTCTTACGGAGAAGTAAAATGTGGATAACGACAGTGAACAATTTGTTAGGGGGTGCCATAAGTATTCATTTATAGGTTCTAATTTCTAGGTTCTAATTTTATTACATTACTCTATCTGTCATTATCGAAGACAATTTGCCACCCACCCTCCGAGTAATACAAGGTTCGCGAAGCATAATATAACCCAAGATACCATCTCGACATGTTAAATTTAGGGATTGATAATACGGATCGATTTGCAGAAACCAATTGCTTGAAACGCTTTATGTTATCATAAGGAATCTATTTTTCATCTCCGGCAATGATTTTGTTACGAAACGAATCTTTACGATGTCTGGATAGCAAGGAAGAGCATTGATTGTCGCCATAGGCGATCGTGTGGACACAAAGATTTTCGATATTACTTGTATACTTTTTTTTTGGACCAACCAATCAACGTTAGTTGTAGTAGTAAAGTGGTCAATTTTCTTCGCAGTTACCGTTGCATTACATCCCGCCTGAAAATGAAAAAGTATGCAATGCGACAAATATGATCATCGGAAGGTGCGAACGCTGACGCTGATTTCTACGGATATATGTTACGTAGCTTGCTTTAAAGAAACTAGGAACTAAAGAAACAAAGGTCTTCATCGGTGAAACAAATTTTTTGCAAATAATTGATTGTCTCTGGATGCCTTTAACATTATTGTTGATTAGTTTGGCTCGAGATAAAAATATTAATAATAATAATAGAGGGCAGCTTTGTGGCTCTCGGATCAGGTTTTTCAACTTCTACATAATGTTGGACATTTCAGATTCAATTCATTGTTTGTCGCTCATACCACTTACATAAATATGCGACAAAGATGCTGCATGAATTACGGCAGTTGGAGAGGCAGGGAAGTGGAATATAAAACCGCAGTCAGCCCCCACGATATAACGCTTACCGGTGGTTCGCCCGGGGGTGTTGGTTTCAGTAAACGGGACCATGATGCTGATCCGGTCTAGAAGTATCTTTTGAAGGTTTCTCCTTCTAGCACACACACACACACACACACACACATTAGATGTTCACTTTGAGTTTGAGCTTGAGCTTGAGCTTGAGGTGCACTGAGCAACCGGTGCTGAAAGATCTGTGTGATAAAGGAAAGAAAACCAAACTCTCTTCATAAAGTCAATGTTCTTACAAGTTTGCCGTATTCGAGGAACACTCTTCAATTGAATGAAATGCAAATGTTGAGTAATTTGCCTAAGGAGCATTCTTATCCGCTTCTCTAAAAGAATACTTATTTCCTTAAATGCAAGAATTTCGTTTTTTTTTTTCTCTATCCGTATAATACAGATTTCCTCCATACCATAAATCCTATTGATGTTTTACAGTAATATTAAATATACTTTCATATTGCTTTATAAGCGTAATATAGATTTTCTTTGAGAGTTGATTGCACGTAAAGGTTTCCTTCATCGTTATCTTTAAATTCAAACTATGAACCCATATATAGAAAATGCTTTTGTTTGTACTTTTCTTTATATAACCTATTGCTCCAGATAGATAGATAGATAGATAGATAGATAGATGGATGGATGGATGGATATAAGAGAGAGAGAGCTAGTGAATGAGTGCATTTTCTTAAGCTGATTACTTACAATATACTACAAATTGTTTTATTATGCATTGGATGATACTTAACGTGTGCGCGCATATAAGTTCACACGATGACGGAGAAAATAAGGATGATAGTGATGATGTGCTCACGTAGATACGCTGTTGTATGATTTGATATGTATTTTTATTTATTTATTTTTTTTTTTTATCAATTTTTTTAGAAATATACACTACACACACAAAGGTTCTAACTTTTACCTGACTTTTGCCTTTTGATACACAGCTAACAACATCATCTCGTGTTGGCTCCAAATTAATCACATCACGCTGTAAATGAAGAAGAAAAATAAAAACAACACAAATCGAGTTAAAACTATATGAAAAAGATTTAATATCTTATTGCTTGATTATATCTTAAGAGTAGTTGTTAGTTGGGTGTGAGGTGGACACTTTCAATTAATTTATTAAAATTTATTTTACAATGTAAACTTCGTTCGTTAGCAATAGATTACTGCAGTGTTTTTTTATTAAATTATTAAATAGGGCGAGGCAAAGAGAGAGGGAAAGGAAACTAGATAATCTACTCATTCCATTTTGCTGCACATTCAGTAGCAGCAGTAAAGTGTCGCTATATATAACAAATTGGGTTAAATAGGTTTCCCTTTAGGCAAATTTGGTTTTAGTTCTGCTATTGCGGTTTGCATAAATCGAACTGTTTGTGTAGACTTTCAATTGCATAACATGCCCATTATAAACGCTACTAGAAAGACTTTTAGATATTCTTGCGTTCTTGCGTTAAGAACTAAAATTTGGAATGTTCGGATCGTTGTCTGCATCGTATATAAAAGATTGGCGTTACTATCTCCCTGTGAGCATTTGTCAAACTTTTTAAGTTTCAAGTAGCCGTGTAATTTGTCCCATTGAAGTGTGAACAGAGTAGTTTTAAATTTTAGAGAGCTTTAAGAATACTAGTGTATTAGGAGGCTGTCACTTAGGTAGCTGGCGGTTTTTCACTTTAATTCGAAAGAAAGTCTTTCTGAATCGTTGCGGAAAGCAGTTTTAAGTGCGAACAAAATTTTGGCGCAGTCGAGAGACAGAGAGAGAGAGAGAGAGAGAGAGAGAGAGAGAGAGAGAGAGAACGACTGCAATATGTGAAGAGAGATAACACACAAGATTCCAGGCCATTATGTTGGGAAGTTGCGAAGTCAAGTAGGCATCCCAGTGCGGTAGACTAAGATTCTTGTGTAGTCGCGGTTATACTAAGTGCTCAGCCTATCATTTACTTTTTGGGCACACACTTTGTGACTCGTTTCCTTGACTCCCGACTTACATGAACGAGGCACAACCCCTGAGTGATCTGTTAGAAACTCTTCTTTAACTTGCTTTTTTGACAGAGCAACTCTTCCAATCGATATTCGGTGCACTTCTAAATGGGTTATCTTGCGGAAATTTTGCACACACCTTCAATCGCAATGACACAAGGCCATGTGGTACAGTCAAATTTCTTGCATAGTCGGCGGCCGCTAAAAAGAGGCAGATTATCGTTTTCTTAAGAATCCTTTCAATCTGGACAATAAATAAAAGAGCTTGGAGAGTAGAATGCGATAAGCTAAAGCTGTTAATTCTAAATTGCGTATGGCGGCGGTCGTCACGCCGTCATGAGTTCATTTTTTCTTTACAATCTTAACAATCTCTTCGACATGAGTATCAAATGAGAGGGCTTGGAGCGTGTAATGCGGCAAGTCAAGTGCGTCAATTTAAAATTATATATGGCGAACGTTAGCGTGTGTTGGATTAATTCTTTCTGAACAATCACAAATAAATAATAAATTTTATAGAAAAATTCTTTTAAATAAGCTTTTGGTTAAATGAAGTGAAAGATGAAGGATATATTTTCACTTTATATATTTATGAATGTATATATTACGATGCCAGTGGATGTGATGTACCTCCTCCTAATTACCTCTGGTTAACCTCTGGTTCGATCAAAGACTTGTTCTTTGGCTGGGAAATGCCCGGCTCTTATGACCTCACCCACAAAACCGCCATTTATGCGGGAAGCCTCGGTAGACTTAAGGGTATTCGTATTCTGTCAGCAAGCCAGAAATAGCATGCACCTGACGATGGATAATATTCTGAATAAAATATTTATTTCGACTTTCTCGATAAAAGCACTTGGCTTTCAAATCATGTCGTTCCATTTCTATCTATTTCCTTGCTTGCTTGTCTTTGTCCAAATTATGTTTGTGTTTAAGAAATTTCTTTTTGCATTCCCCTTATTATTTAGTCTTTATATATATGTATATGTATATTTATCTATATATATGTATAAATGTCTTTTTTTCTCTGCTAGAATTTGTCGCATTTTCTTTTAAAATCGTTGTATACATAGCGTATATCCAAGATTCGTACAAATCTCAATTCAATATCTTCTCCTTCGTTGTTTGCGTTGCATTCCACTTTTCTGTGAATGTATTCTATTTAATTAGATTTCATTAAGTAAATCAAAGTAACTACTGAAGCTTAAATAAACATTTAACACTTTGTAAAGTAAAAGCAACAACAAAGTACCGTCCATTATATAGACAAACAAAAAAAATCTGCAGACGGTAAAGAACGAATCTTACTTAGGCTATACTTTAAAGAGTTTCTTGTTAACTAGGAACCTGTTAATAGGGAACGAAACACATTGTACATACTCGTAAACTGATAAACCTTTTTGAAAAAAATACTTATGTAACAAATTTGAAAATATTTATCTGCTTTAGGGATCATGTTAGCAACAAAGGTTGCTTGGGTGGTTAAGACAGTGGCTTCTATTCCGCAGTGTAGCTTGAGATGCTTGTGAATGGATCAGGTTCCTTATAAAAGTCCAGTTAGCAGCAATAAACAAGGCTTACATGCGCCTAAATGCAACTTTTTACAGAGGTCTCTATATACTTTCTTAAAATGCGAGCGGAAAAAATACTGACTCACTCTTACAGCATTTCGCGTTTATTTCGTTTGAAGTTTCTCTAAAGTGAAGTTTTCTTTCGTTCTTCAAAATTCGTTTGCCTTCGTAAGGCAGCGTAAGCTGAAATCTACTTAAACTGATTTTTTTTATTGATATTTATAATAAGTTTATACATAAGAAAAAGGTACGGTTATCAGTACTTAACCATTTTTTTTTTTTTTTTTTTTTTTTTTGCGTGTATGTATATATGTTTACATGTAAATATATCACTAGGTAGTTAAGCATATTTACTGTCAGCAGCTGCTCTTTATCTATGTACGTACTTATGTCGCAAGGCAAACTTCAAATCCTCTTTTTCTCTCTTGTCACTGCTTGTTTGTGCAGACAGAGGCAACTAAGTGAGAGGATGTCCCAACGTTTGGTTCAAAATTCAAGCGAGTAAAATCTCACGGACATTTTGTGTTTCAGCTGTCAACAACCGTAGTAGTAAAGCTGTTAATTAACAGTCATTTGATTGCTTACTCTTTCATTCTTCTATTATGTGCATGGAAGGATGTGAAAAGTCAAGAACATGTTAAGAGAAGCCTTTGGCGAACATCAAATTTAGAATTATCTTTGATGCCAATGGACGCTTTGGTTTTGCTCGTACATAGACGCTCATACCACCACACAGCATAATTCATTTAAAACCACAGTGTATTTGTGTGTATTTGAACCGAATTCTTCCCCTCACAAATAAAGAATATGAAAGAAGAAGGAGACGAATGAGACAAAAAAACAAATTCGAATGTTGAACAAAATGTTGGGACATCTTGTCACTTAGTTGTCTCTACTTTGGCGTCATATACTTTAGTTCCTTATAAAATTCAATTTATTACATCAACAAAACACGTTCAACACAGTTAATCACATTTACTGGAAAATATATTATTTCACATACACATACAATTAAACATAAACACACACACACACACACACACACACACAAACCCGCATATACAAATAGAAACTGAGGTATTAGGAATCACTTAGAAATGTAAACTTTCTAGTAATCAATACAGAAACAACGTTTAACAAAAGTAGTTTTAAATATTAAAAAAAAAAATAAAGTAGCAGAAGCTCTCTTTTTTTCGCGACAACACAACGTTAATTTCATATATAAAAAGTTTGTTTTTTTATAAGCACTTTAAGTTTAATTGAATTTTAGAAACTTTTTTTTAACGCCATTATGTTAATCACATTAGCGAACTTAACCATTATCAATGATATTAATTTGTATATGTAACACAATATGTATATGTGTATATACATATGCACGTGTAAACCCATTATTTGCTCTTTTGTATGTCTCTTCTAATGTCATTTGCATTGCTGTCGCTAGTGCAACCTTTAGGGCTTTATATCTGTTTAATTAGTTCAATTATTTTGAAAGTAATCAGAAACTGTACAACCGCGAACCCACAGGCTGAATAAGTGTCCGCCGCATTAAAGCAATGAGAAGCGCAAAAAGTTGTTTATTTTATTCAAAATTAATTCTATTTAAGTAAAGTATCGCTTTTATCATGTGTGACCTTCTTCACTGCTTGTTGCATCAGATGTGGTAAATGCAGTGCCAACGAAGCTCTCCGCATGTTATTATCTGCGACCTTTTGCCATTTTTGTGGTAAAACTATTATTACTTTCCTGTCGAATTTCCCATATCTGAAAAAGTTAACCAAATGATTTTCCCTCCTTCGGAATCAAGTTTTCATATCTTCAAAAGAATTCGACAGAGAGAGAGAGACATCCACCATCGTCCGATGGTGGATGTATCAAAACTCTCCAGCCATACAATACCAACCCTTGTAAGGTCGGAGACAATAACTTTCCTATTGATTAAATTTGCCCGGATTTTTGAATCAGTTCCCCTGGAATGTGAGTGTAGACGGTACAATGATCCGTTCGATCGGATCTCAGAAGGTAAGAATGTATTCAATTCACTTCGAATACCATCACACAGCTAACACAACCTCGAGGGGTGTCAACATTGCCCCCAGGGGTAAGGGAATATTAACCTATCTAAAAAGCCAATATAATCACAGATCCGTTATGGCGCATTCGTTACTTAAAAAATAAAATAAAACTTGACTGTATAAACAAAGGTACGTTCTACAATGAATATTTATTATGAGGAACAAGAGCGCAAGCCACGATCTTATAACAAAGGTTTACTTGGTATTCACAAATACGTCAAATACGGGCGACGCGCTTTCAACAGGAGAGTTATTCTACCGCTGTGTAACACACATTTTCAATGCATTGAATAACGAAAGAATGTTAAGCCTAGTCCTGCTACATACACTGGAAGGTTCCAAGATGGCCACAGTAAAGGCAC